AACACATACCTACCTAAATATGTGATCAACTCAACACGCTTACTTCTATTCGAGACTGGCTTAAAAGCAAGCGATTTTTATTACATAAGAGATGGAGATATCGGTTGTTGATCTCGCTTTCCTTTTTAGCTTTCGTATTCTCGTTTATTTGACGGCTAGCGAGTGATAGATAAGCTTGGCTTGGGATTATGATTGTAACATGTACCTTCCTGTGATGACTCGGTATCGTGTTTGGTTTATGGAGTAAATTTGTTGGCTGCAGATTGGGATGGATTTGTTGCTAAATTATTATCACCCAAAACGTGGAGCATTGAAAATCTGGGGTAATTAGCCTCTTCATTAGCTTCTATAGTCAGGAGAAAAAAATTAGGTAGGACATCCAACACAGCCCGATTATAAGAAACGGCAACTCCCAGGACAGATCAGTATATCTGGTCAATAGTACTTGGGTACCTTGTCGGCATCTTAATACTAGTTGATCAGTTGATGAGAAAATTCTTCGCTTAGACTCCTGAATCCATGGATGAAAATGTTTTTTAAGCCAAGACTTTACAATCGGTATCTGAATCATGGCATTGAAGTGCGATTAAGCTGAGATTAAACAGATTGTTTATCTAGTACATGAAAAAGAGAATAACAATCGGCTCTGGTCGGGTGAAAGCGAAATTTTCGGAAAAGTAACAAAACCTATACCTGTAAATAAACTATCGGTTGATCGGCTTGATGAGGATACGTGGTCAAAGATAACAAACATCTTCCGAATTGTACCGGTTCCATGGGGAAATTGTACTATTGAACTTGGGTTTGCAATCGAATTTCTTAGTACATAAATTTCTTGTCCAATTGAATGTCGGAGATGGGGACAGCGAGTCGATTTTACCCCGGATTTGCATACGAGAATAGACTAATATTATGTAGTAGTGGTGTCATGTACTTTTGATTTCATGTACGAGTAGTGCCAAAGATATGAATAATACACACGAAATTACCCCAGATCTGCAATCTCGAATCCACTAGAATCGTAAAAGCCAGATCATCTCTGAAAAAGCTCGAAGGTGTTTGATGTTTTTCTCATGAAGTAATAAGCGAGAGCAAGGCCTCGAAAAGTATATAAGGTCCCTCCTCTCCTCTGGTATTTTCTTTTCCTTTTCTTCGACAGATTCTCAACATGTTCATACTTTGCTTTTCCTTACTTATATCTTCTTCACATATCTCCCTTCGCACATCTCCCTTCACACATCTCTCCAAAAAAAAAAAAATTCTCAACACAACATCGACAAGTCCGACCTCTTCGGAGTATGACTATAAGCATATGGGGCCAATATTACCCGGCCTTGTCAACCGGGATACCAGGAGAATCGACTCGAGACAAGACCGATCTCTTCGGAGTGTGGTCTCTAAACTTCCTCGACAATGGGCGCCAATATTACCTAGATTTCGCAGCTAGGATACCAGGCAGTCGACGCCAGTGCGAAAATCCGCACTATAAACATAGATACCTTGGGGAGCCCAATATTACCTAGATTTCGCAGCTAGGATACCCGGCATCGACGACAGTGCCTCCTCGACCGCACTATAAACACACTGGGGGCCAACATTACCTAGATTTCGCAGCTAGGATACCAGGCATCGACGACACTCTACCTGCCCGGGGGTAGACCAAACAACGACAAGGTGATCACTTTCCTCTGATGATAAATGCTAACTTCGGGTGTATAGGGAGGCTAGTCTTGATCACACGTCCACGTCGTGCTAGCTGGGTACCCTCTCACGAGGAGCTAAGTGATCACTCTGTTTTTTTTTTTGTTCAATCAACACGTTCTCTCACATTGAGGGAATATCGCTCAAAGTCACCTTCGGGTATACTTTGGGTAATTCGGGAGAAGCGAAAGAAAGCCCGAACCTGGGGAACCAACCAGATCGCTCGGAGAATGTACTTGCAAGTGTAAGTATAAACTCTGGGGAACCCGGAGAAGCGAAAGAAAGCCGGCTCTAATCTTGGGGGTCTTTGTTTTTTGGGAATTCTTCTGTAAGTACCATCACCTTGTATGGATTCTTTTTGGCAGCTGGCTAACTTGTTTTTAGTTCTGTACGCCACCAGTGGGTCTACGTACTGATAGGACACTGCAAAAATGAACTTGTTGTTAAATAGACGTGGTTCGTGTGGTGCTGAGAAAGGGAGCTAGTCTCAATGAGACCTAGTAAGAGCTCTGATATATATATATCGGAGCTCTTATCCGTATGATTAATTAGTACACTGAATGAAATACTATGAATGCCTTCATGTTCTAGCCTACGCTTCCCACTGTATTCTGTAGAGAGTCGCACTTGAAACACTTGTGAATTTTCTTGATATATCATATCATTTATCTTAGGAATTGTCACAATTGTTGATTAGAGATGCAACAATCAAAATAAAAATTTGATATCAAATAATTGAAGAATGAATTTCTTAAAAAAATTGAAAACTCAGAAGTGTTCTGTTAGCCCATGTATAGACTAGTGGATATAGAAAAGAGGCTTGATAATATTTCATGCACTTTACATTTGAATATCCCGAGAATCGTTAAGTTAATCAATTGAACATGAAAGAATAGATGTATAAATTTAATATCAAATGATTTAGTAACGAAATTTTTATGAGAATTAATATTTAAATGGGAATTGATATTTAAACAGAAATTAATATTTGAAATCGATTTAATATTTATACGAAAATCAACATTTAAAATCAATTCAATACTTGAAATCAATTTATAATTTAATTCAAACATAAATCGATATTTGAAATAAAATCAGTATGTAAAATGAATTTAATGTTTGAGTGGGAATTAAAATTTGAAATCGATTTAATTGAATAAAAATCAATGTTTGAATAGGAATTAATGCTCTAAGAAATTGAGTAACATAGTTGACGATAGGATCTTTATAGGTGGATTTGTTTCGATCTTTCAAGAGCCCTTATGTGGAAGCTGTGGAAAGACTCGTTACTACAGCTATTATGAGGACCATGTCGATGAATGTCAGAATATTTCGCATGAGTTCTGTAGTGGATATTGCGTTGATGGCCAGAAGGTCTGGCGAAACTTATGTCGTGACTTGCGTTCCGGATGTGACAATATCATATGGAGGTTTGAGTTCGAGATTATGTAATGACTGTATTAGATATTAGTGCGCTGTTCTGTATGCACACAATAACTTCACGAACACGTAGTGGAGACTTGACAAAGCTGCGGCACACTGCCGATCGAATGGAAACTTGATTTGATAGAGTTAAGTAATCTAAAGAGCAGATGGTGGCATCCAGCTGCCAGCGCAACGCTACTTTGCTCTCCATTTTTTTAGTGCTAATCACGTGACACTCAAGGAGAGTCGGACGGCAGCCCCCCTATCCGAGCCGAGAAACAGGATCCTTCCAAATCATAAGCGTAGAGCAGTGTTCCAAGTTCTTCTGTTGTACACAACCAGAGTATTTTCTCAAGCAGTGGAAATTGCACTCAATGATATTCAAATATTGAATTGATCTTAAACATTAAACTAAATTCAAACATTGAGTCGATTTCAAATATTAAATCCATTTCAAACATTTATCTCCATTCAAATGTTGAATTGATTTCAATCATTCAAAGCTTATATCGCGAAGTTTAATAGTAATGTATTATTCACAATACAAATCCACTTAATTTATTCAGAACCTATGATCTTTTCGATCTTTAGACTGTTCACTACGAGCATCTCCTCACTTTCCTCCAAGTCTTTCTAGTCACCGATAATAACATAGCGATTAGGCAAACTGCCACGTAGCCCCATGTTACCCAGTCACTTGAATCGACGAGATGACTCTGACTGTGGAGATGTTGAAGAAGACAATGTTCTTTTTAATAGGTAGTTATGGACTTGGAGTCGGTCTTGGACTCTAAATATAGTTGTCCTGGAAATGTGGAGAGCACTTCATTATTTAGTTTTGCCCATCAAGAGCCAAAAAAGAATCGACATTGTATAGCAGTACAATACAGGATAGTCTACAAGCAAGAACTCCATGGCGACGTACTAAATTTTGAGAAGAAGACTGAATCACCGTTTAAGGTGGCCTTGTACGACAGGATCATTATGCTTGAGTTCCTTGCCGGCATTCTTAACTATAAGGCGGTCACAACTTCGGAGACCCGTTTCTATCTGTGATGAATTTTGAGACAATTTCGAATGTTTGTGCGTTAATGACATGTGATTGAAGGGTACAGACGCTGAGCTGAGGAGTGAACCATCGAGGTAGGATGATACCAGTGGAAGTCAAATACACTACTTTCAATATGGATTCGATTCAACTGTAATACTTATCAGATATTATATCTATGATAATCTTTGATCCTATAATACTTCAAATACTGATACTCCCCCCTTTAATTATGTAATAAAATTGAATCCAAGTAGCGTTCTTAGTCATTATCACTAGCATCTCATTCTACATTATCGACAGTGCAGTCTTGAGCGCCTATGCCCGATGAGCCATTTCAACCTTTGATGGAGTGATAGTTGATGACCTAGAAGACCCGACGTAAGCTAAGGATCCAACCTGCTTGCTCTTGCATACCATAAAATGGTGATACCAAGTTTTCTCGCATAATGTTTCTATCAATGGCCTCCGACTCTCTTCTTTCATTGACACTCGCCAGTTCCTAGGTCTCGGGAAGCTTGAAGAAGGGGTCGGTTAGGTCCCATCCAAACTTCTCACACATCTCTACCCTGTCCCTTTCATCAGCTACAGGGTCGTTCCTCCGCTCGCATTCGTTTTTCTGCCTCTAAAATTTCATAAACACGACAACAAGATTCCCTTTGAAGCTTTTGATACTCCACGGGATGCTTGAACTGCCACGGTACTTTTGTGTCGTACTTCCCTTCATGTTCGAGAATTAATATCTTGAGTATCTCTCAATCCATAAGTTTTTTCCTGTCCATCTGTAGCTTCAAACCGAGCATAGTCATCACTATTGTATAACTCATCATCTTTTTGGAAGAAAGTTCATAGCTCTGGTTCGAAAACGAACGATACGGTAGAAATCGGCCACGCTCTTATCCACATCTTTGATCTTTTTCTTGTGCGCAGCTTCCTCTTCATCTATTCTTTCCAACTGTTCTTTCATCTCCGCTTCTCTAATTTGATTTTCCGCAGATCTCTTCTCTCGTTCGGCTCTGATCTGAGAATTTACGTCGTAGCGCAGGAAATCCAACCACGAACTTTTACTTTTCATGACCATGAGGAGAATCGCAAGCCAGATAATAACCAAAAAGGCTGCTATTGGCAGACTTAACAAAGGCATCTATCAAGAATTCGAACCATGGTGTTTTTTTGTGGTTGTTGATGTAGTTATGTTGGATGAGTTGCTTGTGAGAGATGCAAACTGTGAGATCGGGGTATTAGTATTGCCTACTAAGCATAAATCTCGCGAGACAAGTAGCAGAACGAGGAGTCAATACCCTGTGGGAAGCAAAAGGAATATAAGCATGAGATACAAAAGCAGAGAGCAATTGGGCAATAGGATTAGTCAGTCAATATGAAGGAATTATTGAATAATTTATACTCACAGGTGAAAATGTGGATGTTGTGCCGTTGGTTGAAAAGGTTGGTGTAGTATTAGCGATATTTGCAGTGGGACTAGGGCTGATGGCAGTGTTTAACGTAGTTAATGAAACGATATCATATAGGGTTTTAGTCACAGTGATCGTTGCTGTCACGGAAGTGGGGGTAATGAAGAGCGCCATCGTATGTCGTTTTTCAATGGAAGTTGTGTGTTGCTTTGTGATTACTGGGGAGTGAACATATATATATAGTGAGGAGGTTGAGTTTAGCTTTTGGCCAAGAATTTCGTCCCAGGAATGACTAAACCCGAAGAATCTTGACTTGTCTTGATTCATGAGATGAACGTTTTAGGCAGATGATTAGGGCTATGAAGTTCGGTAAACGATCTAATATAATACCTTCATCTATTCACTTGACTGATGATCCATATCATAATTTGATGCTTTAAATTATCTAAACCACCGTAGTGCTTTAGGAAGCAAACAAGTGGGTCACGAGTAACTTCACTTGATCTTGATTGGAGCCCTCGTGATAGATTCCTTGCTACACAAGTTAAATGTCAGGATTTGATCTGGAAGAACTGCTTTTCTAGAGGCGCTAATTCCTCTAGGTGAAAGACATGTGATAGTTGGAGTAAGATCGCAGGGAAGATGGAGATATTCTGAGGCTAAAACTCTTAGTACTTGACTAACCAGAACAATTTAAAACTTTAAAACTGTGAACACATATACCTTATGGGAAAATCTGAATCATGCCCAGCTGCTAATAATTGGAATAGAATCAAGCTAAATCCACACAATCTACTAATTTGGGGTTACGCATTGCACACGTTGTTCTGGAGGCCTGGGATAGGGAGTGGGAGTGGAAGTACAGATACCAAAGGGGGAGCATGTTATGATCTTCAAATCCCCTTCAAAGCCCTATGATCATCCCAATTGATATGATAGTTTCAATTGATATGATTATACAAATTGATAAAACTACCTTGATTGGCATAAATGTCCCAACTGATATGATTCTTTCAACTTATATCATTGTCCCAATTGATATGATTGTCCCAATTCACACCATTCAATCACTTTCATTCCCTCATACTACCATACAAATCCGCCTACACAACCAAACTATATAATTCGATTATTAGCCTAGTGTAGGAAGACCCCATTACGCCGTACTGCGACTTTTCCGTAAAAACCTTGGCACAACGATTTTCTCGCAGGCTCTATAACATACCCCCAAAACACAGCTTCCGCCCATTAGTTCCACAACCCCAGCTCAAATTTACATATTCATAAATAAATGCAACAAATTTCCTCCATACTCCTGGTATCATGCTACCAAGAATCCAAAATGTGGTCAAATCCTTCTATATGCAAACGTCATTCATACCGTCGTGAAATTATACCAGCCGCGAGGGCTGCGCATTCAATTATTTGTACATATCAACTCTCTACAACCCTCACCAACTTGGCAGAGTAGCTGACAGATATTGCTTAATAGTATTCAGGCAATGCACTGAAGCTCGGGACTGTTGATGAACATTTGAAGTCTGGATCGTATGCTAGCTTTGGCAAGATGCCAGCTGCTAATCCTCTTTGGTAGCCTATTCAATCAATCTGTTAGCAACCATCTAGCGATATTCTTCGTGCTTTGGTTCTTGATTGCCCCTTTCACACTATTCCCACCAACGGAGTCGTAGGTGTGGGAAAGAAGAAACCTGTAGATGCGAGGAGTCGGGAACTTACTCCACTGTGTGCCACCACCCTCACTAGTCTCCGTAGTCCAAGTCCAGTAAAACCAGCCCCAACCCAATTCAAAACTATGCATCTGCGCCTCGGCAAACATTTTCAAAAAGCTCTTATATGTATCACTATAAGTACTCGGATCTGCATTTGCATTGGTACAACTACAGGTACTATCTTGCGTTGGACAATCTGGTGTCGTTTGCTGTGTCGATGAGTCTCCGGTATTATATGTTCCCTCCCATCTATTTCCTTGATTAACGTTTGTGAGAAAGGTTGCACAATCCGTATCGGCTTGAGACCATTCAGCAACCATCGTTGGCCCAAATCCTGTACTTGTGTTCATAGATATCTCCGTTTGTTGAGTCCAACCACTACAAGCATAATTTACTTTCTCCGTATGGTTATAAAGAATCTGTCCGCTGTTGAAAATGACATATTGATGAACATCCAAGACCAGATTGTTATAACTTGTTAAGTCGCCCTGCCAATTCTCGAGTCCACGGAATCCATCTCCAATAACGACATACGCGGAAATACCATTCTTCACGACCATGTTAGTAACTGTAGATGTCCACTTTAGGACATCATTGATATCAAGAGACGTCATTCTAGGTTCATTAGCGAGGCCATAGAAACTAATGATGTTCTTATAGCGGTCTTGAGCGAAGAACTTAGAGAGCCTATCGTGGATTTCGATACTGCGTTGAGCGTTTAGGTTGCCATTAGTTCCATTCAACCAACCAATAGCTCCTTGACGGCCGGAGTGATTCCAGCCATTTTGAGAACCAGGGAGCGCATGAAGATCCAGGTTGATACGGAGACCATACTTGCGAGCCCATTCTATACCACGAAGAAGATAACGCCATGAGGTGCGGAAGACATAGGGGTCATCATCGTAGGTTATTACAGCCCAGTACGAGTAAGGAATGCGAACGTGGTCCAGTCCAGCAGCGGCAATGTCGGCAAATGTCTGTTCGGAAACGAAGGTTGCATAGTGTTTCTCAAGAGTAGATGCAGCCGCAGTTGCACCCAATTTTTTAGTCAGCGTCCACTCATCAATGATTCCGTCTGCTGATGAGTATGAATTGAAAAGGGACGGCGTGATGAAAGGTTCGATAGAAAGCCAGCCACCTAAATTGACACCTCTAGCCGGTCTTGAAGTATAAGCTCCCCACTCTGCAGATAACTTTGGTGCCTTGGAATTAGGTGCTACATCATCGCTGTATGAGGTATTCAACCCCATAACCGGAAGATCTCCAACAGTCTCATTCGTGTATGTGACATTGAAATCCAATGTATCGTACCATGTGAATGGGTCCAAATATGTGCCATGGGCTGCAACCGGAATATCACTTTCTGACATCCCATCAAGATTTGAATTTGAAGGAGTTCCACTTTCTGTTGCAGGGGCTGTAGAGGAGGAAGAACTTGAAGTGTGCTTCTTGCTGGTGCTCACTGCAATTGCTATTATAATTATCAAAATTACTATGCCAATGCCAATTCCCATCCCTAGATACATTATCAGCTCTCAAAATTGACTCCTTCGACCTGAGTTTGAGAACTCACAAATACGTTTCCGCCTTTTTCTAAAATCTTCGTCGCTTTCGATGTACTTGTCAGGATAGCTTGATTCAGTAGGCGCATATCCACCTCTCAACCCTTTCAGATGTCTCAGATCATTTTTTAACTCTGCGCCACTAAACATTCTGCGTTGCTTCAACTTCCCTTCACCTTCTTCCAAAAGTGCTCCACTGACAACTCTCCGTTTCTTTCCTTTTGGCTCTTTCCGAGCTTTCTCATAGACAGTCTCGTCATCTGTATATGTGTTTGGTATTTTCAAACTCCGTTCCTCTTTACGCGGCGCATTTTGCTTCGGCTTCGGTTTTGATTCGGGGATACCGTTTTGCTTTCTTCTCTGCTTTTGAATTCGTAGAGCTGTTTCTGCCGCTGTCTCGTAATCGGAATAGTCTCTCACTTTCTTGTCTTTGCCCGGGTATTTAGATTCATCATCAGTATATCCTCTTTCTTGTCTCCTTCTGTCCTTTCTTGGCGAACCAGATTCATCATCGGTATATTCATTTCGTCTCCTTCTTTCTCTACTTGGTGATCCAGGAATCTCATCATAATCGCGTTCTCTCCTTCTATTTTTAATCGGCGAACTAGAATCCTCAGTCGCATATCCGCGCTCTTTTCGTCTTCTATCTTTACTGGGCGAACCTCGTTCCCTCGATCGTCCATGGTCTTCCTTCACTGGTGGTCGCGATCTTGATTTCCGCCTCTCCTCCCTCCTCTTCTCTCGTTCAAGGGAATCATTTAATCTTGCCAGGGAATCAATTGATAAAGTTTGCGACCCAGTTGGTTCAGAAGGCGCCTCTGATTCTGCGACAATAGCCCTCGTTCGTCGTTCTGCTCGTCGTTTTTCGTGTAGCGTACTCTTTCTATGTGGTCGTTCAGTCGCGTCCCCAGCCATTCTCTCCTCCTCCAGCTCTCGCAGATTATGAGTACAAGAGATGGGCCAAAATAAATAAATTATAGAATTCACATGGTTTATATGTACAATGAAGCGTGCTCGTGCTGATCATGCATCAGAAAAATCTGTATGCTCAACATACGTATGCGCATCGAATTTCCAGGATTATTATCTTGTTTCCACAGCAACATCCTCATCCGCATAAATTTGGGGGCTGGTCTATAATAGGTTGGCGCTTAGATCCCGTCACTAAACACGTGCTACGAGATCTATCGGTTTATCGGTTTATCATTTGAACGCTTAGATGTGGTTACAAACGGCTACCCCAGATTTCTCCGCGTTTTGTAACTGTACATCAACAATGTAGTTTCATCGCTATCATGGAATTCTTTTAATACAATACAATTATTTCATTCAACGTTGTAGAACGTCGTACTTGTGATCATAACTCCCAGCCATCATGCGAATAACTTCAAGACTATCGTCTCCCTTGGTCAAACCACTGAAACCCTTATGTGTTGTACACAATTCGAGATTCCCAAGATCATATTCCACACATCCTCCACAAGCAAAACTCAATAAGGCAATTGATTATGGATCAACTGCTATCTTAAGCCATACTTCATCTAGTGCATTGCAGAACCCAGAGCTTTCACCGGAAATACGAAATGGTGCCACGAAACGAATGAACCTATTCCAATCAATCAACGATGCATTATCACTCGCATTATCCAAAGATGAAACAACTATGGTTTTTGGTGAAGATGTAGGATTTGGAGGAGTATTTCGTTGCAGTACGGGACTTGCAGAGCAATATGGATCAGAAAGAGTTTTCAATACACCATTGTGCGAACAAGGAATAATAGGATTCGCGATTGGAGCAGCCGCGGAAGGTATGAAGGCTGTTGCAGAGATCCAGTTCGCTGACTACGTATATCCGGCTTTTGATCAATTGGTCAACGAGGCG